AGTGTGATATGCAAACATCTTTTTGTGCATTTAGAGCTGCTCTTCTGGCTTATGGGTGAAGTTGCTAACCTATTAAGGTTTCCTAATGAAGTCTTGGAACAGACTTGGAGTTTAGAAAAGCAATGCAGAAATATTTGGATAAATTGCAGCCATGTTGCTATTGCTGGTCTTGCATATCCTATTATGTTAGAGGCCTGGTTCCTAGCAGCACCCTCTTTCTCTCTTTGCTCTGCACTTGGGCTAGTGTCCTGCCTGCAGAGTGTTTGCTCTTGTGGAACAACAGACAACTCTGTTTCCTAGGTTCACATTCTTCCTTTTACATGCTGGCATGGCTGCCCCTCAAGACTAAAGAGCAGTGCTCTGGAATTTGCTCCACATTCATTTCCAACCAGGCTCCTCTGTACCCTGTTACCTTAGATAAGTGGGATTCAGATCAGACTGTGCGTTGTTTGCATCACAAAGGTGTGACTCACATTCCAACATTTTTGTTCAGGAGGTGCCCTACTTTATTTCTGTTTGAACAGCTCTCTGTTGTACTGTTTTTCTGAAAAGAAGGCTTTTGTATCCTCAGAGCTCTGTCCAGCCCCCCTCCTTCACCTCTCATTGATGACAGATATTGATTATATTTGATAACACATTAGCAGACATACATTTTCCCTGTACTGTTTTAAATCTAGTTCAATATTTAACACCTGTATGTCATGAGCATGAGCTGTTTTGGAGGGCCCATGCAAGAGTTTCTGATGTTCTCTGAGGAATACAATGGTTCTTTTATTGGTGTCTATAATACAACAGGAATATTTAATGTGTGCTATTGATGTCAGTATTGGTTTACACTTTTGTTCAACAGAGTGCAGATTATAGAGGAAAAGCTTAGATGTTCTTAGTGAAACAAAATGAAAGATTAATCTTTCTTTGTGATCAAGCAAGTTTTGATGATTTATGTATTTTTTTAAATAATGAAATAAAAAGAAGATGAAAAGTAAGGACTGGGCTTAAATAGTTTCTGATTTGCAGATTCATTGTTTTGTTTCAGAAAAATGATTAATTTTATGCACTTTATGCCTATAACTCGGGACTAACTCTAGCATTTTTAGTCTGCTAAGCCTCTGTAAACCTACTCATTGCATTTATTTTGTTGTGTGTGTATTCACTTAAATATTCTTACAAAGCAATGGATAGTTTTGTAAATGGAAGGTTGGATCATGTAGCTATTGAGTCTCCTCTGAGTTTACGCATCATTTACTTTACTGAATGTGTTGTTCATGTGCATCAGTCGAGCCATGAAAAATGCTACATAACATTACAATAAACAAAATGAAACATAAAAAGAAGAATTTCTTGTTTCTTGATGTACTCCAGCCAGTGCATGAATTTGTTAAATTCCATCACGAGCACACCTGATTTAATTGAATGAAGTAGGTATTGTATAGTAACTATAAATACAGGACTAAATGCAATGGAGCGGCCACTTCATTAAGTACCTCCTTGTTTCTATGCTCATTGTCCATGTTATTAGCTCCACTTACTGTATAGGTGCACTTTGTAGTTCTACAATTACAGACTGTAGCCCATCTGTTTCTCTGCATACTTTGTCAGCCTCCTTTCACCCTGTTTTTCAATGGTCAGGACCCCCATGGACCACCACAGAACAGATATTATTTGGGTGGTGGATCATTCTCAGCACTGCCATGACACTGATGTGGTGGTGGTGTGTTAGTGTGTGTTGTGCTGGTCTGAGTGGATCAGACACAGCAGTGCTGCTGGAGTTTTTGAACACCTCAGTGTCGCTGCTGGACTGAGAATAGTCCACCAACCAAAAATCCAGCCAGCAGTGTCCTGTGATCACTGATGAAGAGCTAGAGGATGACCAATACAAACTGTGTAATTAACTTAGGTGTCAGTTTAATTGCTTCATTGGTGTAAGAGAGCCTTCAGCATCTGGTCTTGATTATTTTAATCACCTCTGGAGTCTGTTTTTTGCTGTTTGTCAACATTAGGACCATAATTTTGCCAATGAAAGTCAAGGAAGCCATTGTAAGGCTGAGAAACAAGAATAAAACAGTATCAGACAATTGCCAGTGCTTAGGCATACCAAAATCAACTGTTTAGAAACATTCTTAAGAAGAACGTGAGAACTGGTGAGCTTAATAACCATAAGCTCTCAGGAGGCAACTGTGGATTTGTCGGTGACTACTGTCTGCAGAAGACTTCATGAGCAGAAATGCAGAGGCTGCACAAGATGCACACCACTATTTAGCCATAAAAAAGATGGCCAGGTTACAGTTTGCTAAAAAAGTACTTAAAACAGCCTACAGAGTTCTGTGAAGTAGGTCTAGTGGACAGATGAGACCAAGATTAACTTAGATCAGAGCGATGGCAGGAGCGAAATATGGAAGCAAAAAGGAACTGTCCAAGTTCCAAAGCATACCACCTTATCTGTAAACCGTGGTGGTGGGGGTATTATGGCCTCAGCCTATATGGCTATAGCTTCCTTTATGATATAGTTGCTGATGGCAGTAGGAAAAAGAAATTCTGAAGTGTATAGAATCATCTTATCAGTTTAAGGAAAATGCCTCCAAACTGGACGGCACTTCATCCTACAGCAAGACGGACATACTGCCAGGACAACAAAATTACACTGGTTGCAGTACAAGCCTGTCAGAACATCACTAGAGAAGACCCTCAACATCTGGTGTCTGTCTTCAAGCAATCATAGCATGCGAAGGATATGCAATAAAGTATTTAACATGACTAATTTACTGTAAGTACCACAGCTATGTCCCAAACATTATGGTGCCTTGAGATGGGTTGAGGGCTATGTATAAAAAGTGCTATAATTTCTACATGACAAAACTAAACTTTTTTAAAACCTTGGTATGTGCAGTTTCATCCCATGTGAATTGTTTGAGAACAAATGTAAAACTGTGATGTACAGAAGCAAATGAAAAAAAAATGCCTTCCCAAACATTATGGAGGGCACTGTAGCCTTAATATTTCTTGTATGTGTAAAGCCCACTCCCAACCATGTATATAAAAAAGAAATTTCTTGAAAGTGGTCTCTAATGCATTTTGGAACAAAACTCTTCATATTATTTATGTCCTTTGGTCTTGGAGATTAGGCCTTCTCTCCAGTGCAGTAAACCTGCAATGAGCAACTTAGTGTAGTGACACTCATTGTCCATCGCTTATTTTAAAGGCATTTCCATTTCAAGGCACCATAATGTTTGGGCCATAAAGGCATAGTGAGGGCATAGTGATGATGATGAGAGCAGAAAGTTGGAAAACTGGTCCTAAATATGCCATACCATTCAGGAGAGTTTTGTGAATGTACATCCTGGATCTTTGGACGTAGCTGGACTGTAATGAGCAATAACACCAGTACATAGAATGTTGCACCTGAACGATGGGAATGGTCACAGTTGTTAAAGTCATTTTCTTCCACATGAATAAAACTGGAATGTGTCTTTCTCCAAGGAGAGGCTCAAAAACGTTTCTACGCACAGTGGAAGTGTGGTTTGGAGGGTCACAATTTATAGTGCTCTCTTTTTTACTGTTTACTCAGTTTACTGGCGTGGTGAAAAAAGGGAGAGGTGGCCCTTAGATTTATTGGTGCTATTCTGAGAATGTTCTGGTGCCGCATTGTACATAAATCAACCCAGCCCAGAAAAGCCTCTGATGTTCTTGGCCATTCCGCCTGATTTGCAAAGACACACAAAATGGTGGCCCGTCTTTGTTTTGGTGGAGGCTCCCTGCTGAAATGGAGAGCTCCAGGCCAAAATCAATGAATGATTTGATGGATTTGTATAAAGGAAATGTAACCACAGCACGAAACGATAATTATGTCGCTTGTAGCTGTACTGATGTTACTTGGCAGTGATGGGTCCCATTTGCATTTTCTGATTTTCATATTTGGAGAGCTGGGGAAAGCAGTCAGTTCTGTGTCCTGGGTGGAATATTTGAGGCACCGGAGCCACACAATCTGCCAGATGAGATGGTCAGCAGAACCTTTAACTGCATAATTCTTAGTTTGTTGTTACATGAATATGTAATTTTGGATATAAAAATGTGCATTTAAAAGATTTTAACAACATTGCTGAAGTGCATCAACTGTTACAGTTAACGGTATAAAGCTAGGCAAATGTTTTAAACCCTCAGATGAATAAATATCTGTTCGGTTTGATTAATGAAGGCCTTTTGTCCCTTATCAAAGTTTACCCTCTACTGGTAAGCCTTCGCACCTGTATTACATGGAAAGGGCTGCTTAATTCAGAGATAAGCAGTGCTCAACTTAAGGATGAAATAATAACGTCTTCAACAAAGGTTTGCAATTTCTGAGCTTTTTAAACAGTGTTACCTTGGTAAAATCCAAATGCAGTCTATTACACAGAGCCACTTTCGCTGAGCGGCTTAATTTAAAACCAGTTTGGACACATCAATCAGAGGGTTTTTTTTTCTTGTTGTTAGAAGAACAATAAAGATATCAAAATTATGAAAAAATGCATATGGAATTCTACACGGACCAAAAAAGTGTTAAACAAATCAAACTTGTCTTTCATTTCACATTTTCCAAAGTAGGATTTGCCTTGTTGCAGCTTTACACACTCTTAGCAGTCTCTCAAGCAGCTTCTTGAGGAGCCACCTATGGTGATTTTCCAACAGTCTTGAAAAAGCTGAGCCATTGTTGGCTAAACAAATTGCAAGCACTTAAGTGTAAGACTTTAGATCAAAAGTAGAGCAGTCTGTGTGGCGGTGTTCCCAAACTAAACTGGTAACTCAGAAATAAGAAATGATTTATCACTATACCACTGCCACAAATTGTTATATGGATTTCTATGCACATAAATATTGTTGTCATCATTGCTGCATAGGCATGGAAACCACCCACGTTGGCCTAAAGTATTGGAATGTCACAAACTTGCCCTAGCTTTCAAGTAAAAGGTGTTTTATAGCTTTATTTTTTGTCATTATTTGAAGATTGAAGGAAAACCAAAACAATATTGGCAGGTTGATGAAAAATGTCTGTTTATTCAGGTCATACAAAATGAGTCATTCAATGACAGATTATAGCATGTAAGTGGAAAAAATACTTAAATGTAGTGTCATGATTTAAAGAGGGGAAATACACGTTCTAAATATACTAGACAGACCAAAAGATTTACTCTCTCTCTATGGTGCAAGAGAAATACAATAACATATAATACTAGTATGCCCATCTGATGAGTTGCAAATATTCTTTAAAACAAAACATAATGCTGTGGAAAAAAAAAATGTTTGCTGTCGTAACAAAATGTCTTCAAAATATTTGAATATTTGAATTATTTGAATATTTAAATATTAGAGTTCAAATAAGGTATTATTGACAAAGGAAAGACAACATTGAACATCTAACTTTATAAAGTCAAATGCAGTACAAGATTACCTGTTTGTGTAAGTTGAAACTCATTTTAAGGATATACAGACATGTCTTTATCTCAGATAACCAAATACTAATAACACTAAAAAAATAATAAGGGCTGTTTTGGGTCCTGATCATAAAAACAATGACAGGATAGGAAATGGTGTAAACGTCATCAAGCCTTTGTGTTGCCCGTGACAGTACTGCTGATGCTTGAAGTGATGGTGGAAATTATTGCTCTGCTTCTCTCTTCCTATCTCTATACATCATTTTCTCCACCTTTTGAAACCCATGAACATGCTGCAGCCGTAGCAAACAGTTACTATAAATGCAAATATCTGTGAAGAAAAACACACCACACAGTTACTTAGGCCAAGTCATCGCATAGTTAGAGACTCATATCACAGTCTACAGTATTTAGACTATATACTCACTGACATTCCATCAATCTGAATGACTGTTTTACCATGCAAAGAACCATTTAAGCATGAAATGGTTCTATATAGAACTCATGGTTCAATATCCGTTAGCCATACTCTAGTTTTTCTCTAATCAGTTTCTTTCCACAAAAATACAATTGAATGGACACTTTTGGTTGGTGGATGACACTCAGCAGTGACACTGATGTGTTGAGAATGATCCCCCCTCAAATAATATCCGATGGGCAGAAACTGACCAGTAATGCGTGGGCTAGAGGGTGGCTGACCCTTTCATCAGTATGACTACAGATGAGCTGCAGTCTGTACTTGTACACTTAATGTAGGTGGACCTCATAAAGCAGTCCGGTGGAAGTACAAAAAGGTTTTTCTAGTAATGTGGATGGTGAGTGTATTCCATGACTCATTTTTCAAAAGGAACTACAGTCTGAATGCTGGTTCATACTAGCCAGCCCAGTTTTTTGGAAGCCAATATGTTTACATAATAAATATAACACACTGCAGTGTTAGTTCCATATAACAAACATGGATGAGTCATAACTTTGGTGTCCTAAGCTACAGATACAAAGTAAAGAAAGGCGCTAGGTATTTCACCTTGAATCCAGCCTTGGTGGCTATCAATAGTTTTACTGTTTTTAATTTTCATTTGTCATTAGTGGCAGACAAATGTATAGTCAGACATCACATTTTGACCCTAACTACTAGCACAATATATAGTTCAAGAGTTCTGTATAGCAATAGTAATAATGTTAATGCAATGAAATCTCATTTTTTAAAGTCAGTTTTAAAACAGATTTTAATTTGAGATGCTCAGGTTTCTGCTGCTCACTGCTTTAGGCAATGGTTAACGCAGACACCCCCCAATTAACAGTAAATTGGTCATTTGTGAGCCACTTGGAAACTCAATGATTACTTAAGAAAGGCTAAAACAGCAGAATGCTGTTCCTAGGAAACTACTACAACCCTTCAGAATCAACCTAAGTGTAGGCCAAGGTCAGACAATATCATATTGTTTTACAGTTAGGTATTGTTCCAAACAGGGCATAGCATGTATGGATGCATACACCTCTCCTCTTGGCATTGTTGTAAAATGTATAGGCACATACAAAATTTGCTCCTGCACAAACTCAAAGTAGTGATCTTCAAAAAAACTGGTTCTTCACTTAGCGAGTCACTTACTGAAACTCAGGGTGTGGATGTTTAGCCATACACAAAGGAGCAACTATTATTGTATTATTACACAGGATATTAAAATGATAAAATGTGTGACTAGTCCTAGCACACTATGAAATTTATATGGAAATGAAACCTAAATGAAAACATCACAGTCAAATCTTTGTCATTTTGGCCTGGCAGTCTTCCATGCTGACATAATGCACTAAACAGTTTCTCTTGTTTATGTAAGGCAGGATGACTTTTCTTCATCATGATGGCCTACGTCTTCCACATGCACACAGTGAAAGTATTTTTTGTAGGATAATCTGATACTGGCACAGGGTAGACAGCTTTGGTGTCTTAGTCAAGATCATCTGCCGGGTTGCGTTGTGCAGGAGACATGTGAGTTCTCTTATAAAGACAATTATGAGCTGTTAAACATAAGAGTGAAACCTAGTTGCTCTGACTGGATGTATTATAATTGCTAACAGGTGCATAAAATCAAGAACGCTGTCACGCAAGCACCATACACAAACATTGGCAGTAGAATCAGTAATACTGAAGATCTCAGTAACTTTCAACATCTCACTGTCACAGGATGCAACTTTTCCAACAAGTCAGCTTGTCAAATTTCTGCCCTGCTAGATCTGGCCTGGCCAACCATGTCTGCTGTTAGTATAAAGTGGAAATGAGACACCACAGCTCAGCCAGAAAGCAGTAGGCCACACAAGCTCACAGAACAGGACCGCCCAGTGCTTAAGCGCATAGTGCATAAAAATCTTCCATCCTTGGTTGCAATATTCTAAACAATGCGTTGTCCAGAGGTTTGCCCACTACCCAATGCCTGCAAGCATACCACCTCAGTCTCAAGCTAAAATGTTCATGCTTATTGCTTGATACTATTCGGTGGTTCCTGTCTTATTACTATAAAACTGTTACTGTATGCTTATAGAAACAGTTATAAAGATATTTCTTAAACAGTTTAGAGATGAAAGATTAGAGAGAACAAAAAGATTAAAAGAACAAAATAGATGTCAACTTACCGTCGCTACCACATTAATACTGTATTGTCGAAAATCCAGGAATGTAATGATATTTGTACTTGGCCTGGATATGCAAGTTGTGTTTCCCACTTGTCCTGCATATGCAGATGTAGTGGCAGCCTCAAGTACAAATGCAGCGAAATAGAAGAGCAATGCAATGAAGTGATACATCATATCCTGAAATAAACACAACACACATTTGTTCAGAGTTACAGCAAAAGCATAAAAATACAGAAATTTGGAAGTAGGCAGTGTATGTGGTGTAAGAAACCATGTGTTTTGTTGTTAATTGTAGGACTTTATTTATTTAATGTTGTCAAACAGAACATAATTGCATGTCCTCAAGGCTACTTTGCCTCTCAAGTAATTAATCATTAAGGAATATGGACATAAGATGGACATGGCACTAATACGCGTGGAACTGTTAAGCCATGCACATTAATCATGCTCATAAAGCAGACATTACTCAGCAGCAGGGCTGGGACCAGGGCCAGAAATGAGGACAGGCACGCCTTTTGGACACTGCCACTGTAGTTTCACTGTGTACAGAGCTCTATGTCAGGTTTAAGGAACTCAGCCAACAGTACGCTGGTTGAATAGGATCCCGAGAGCCAGTCTTCACTCAGTGTTGAATCTGTTCCAAGTAACTGTGCCACTGCCTTCATGAGCATTCATCACAATGTTATTGGACTGGTATTTTCCTTGAAACTCCATTTAGAAGTTCCCTTCTGAGGCCTATAGAACTCCACGTTCCCATTAAGGGAATTATTGCCAGTGTGCAACCTTAGCAATGGGAGATGGACACTCATGTAAAAGGAAGTTCAAAATACTCACCATGAAATTCCAGTCAGTGTTGATTTTATCCGCAAAGCCCAGCAGAAACAGGGCGAGGTATGTGGAGGAGCAGACAAACATGGTTACAGACACAAACATCACCCAGCCCTGCAGCAACGGCACGGGCACGTTAGATGATGCCACTAGGATCCATACTAACCCCCCGAAAACCTAACGGGACAGAACAGAAGAAGCACAAAATGGCCTATTAGTATTCTGATCGGCCGCCCATTCATCAAGAAAGAATGCTGTGAATTTTGAGATGTTTAGACGTCTTCTGCCTGAAAATGACCCTAGTAAAATGCTGAACACAAAAACGTTCAGTATGGTGGTATTTTTATACCTGGGCTTATTTGGAATTTAGAATAGATGCAACTGAAAGATGATTGCTTTTTCTTGCGTTTCCTCCTCACACCAAGCAACATTTACATGTTAGAAAGAAAACTTTTCCAGCACTTTTATTCTTTTCAGGCAATATCCAATGTTTAGTAAGACATCATACATTATATATTAACCTGCAAGCATGAGGGAATGTTAATACGCACTTACAATTTCCAGGGAAATCAGAGCACCCGAGTATGTTCTTAGAATGTCCAGCCCAAGTGGTAAGGATATAGTCGGCGCTGGGATAGAGGTAGCGTCTGGATTTGTTGCTTCTGCCATCTCTTTGCGGTTCAGTAGCTTAACAAAGAACAAAAGTGTAGGAGAAGTCCCTGGGATTCATGTGTCGCGAACCGGTCTGACAGGTGTGCGGCCACTCCCATTCAGAGTCAAACACTGTAGAGGACAAACCGCCATCTCAGAGCAGCGATCTGCGGTGTGTCTTTGTTGCTTTCTTTCTTAGACTTGCACTTTTTGCTCACTAAAAGTCTGATTTCTCTGTGTTCTTTTGTTTCTTTTATTTTTTTCCTTTTGTTTTTTAACCAGCAGCCTAGCTCTGTCGCCACAAGTTAATAATTAACTAAGAAGTCTCTGGCCAACTGGTCCTGAGTAAATATTAGATTAAGGCATTCCAAGGAGATAAAGAATGGATTGAAGTTATATTGAAGTCCCTGTTGGTGATGAAGGTTGTTTCTTTAAGCTCTGCTTAGCCTACTAGGCCTAGTGTATGCAGAGGTTTTGAATTGTAATGTTTAATATGTAATGGTTAACTGAGGGATCTACACTACACTAGTAAATCTGTAGTCTAAGTGAGTCGGTGAATTATACACTAATGATTCTCTCAGTTTAAGGGATTTTGAGGAACTATGGGCATTGATAGCTATAGGAGGTGATAGCATGTAGAACATAGGTGAGAACACTGAGGTTAAGAAAATTTGGATATTTGCCAGTGGCAGTGTAGGGTCATTAATGATTGCCTAGATGTGGGGTTTAACTTACCCATGTGTCAGTGACCCTTTGCACAACACACATACACACACACACACACACACACACACACACAGACAGGTGTGTGTGTGTGTGTGTGTGTGGATACATACATACATACATATATACATATATATATATATATATATATATATATATATATATATATAAATATACAGATATATATATACATGCTGCAACATTGTTGGCAGAAATACACTTTGTTCATTTGATATGAAGTCCTTGAGGAAGAACTTTATCAGCCCTGATCTTATCAAGACAGACATTTAGACTCTGACGAATGAATGAATATAAATGAGGGAACAAATAAGTGAACTAGTAAATGAATTAAAACAGTAAGTCATTTACCTGTCCACTTTGATCCAGCTCTAATATAACCTCATCAAAGATGTTGTGTTTATAACAAAAATGTCTCTCAGATCCCTGAAAAAAATAAAACCGTAGTGCAAAAGCAGTAGGACCATTAACATTTGGCCCAACTAAGATATTTTAGATAGATCTATAGAGTACAGATAAACCAAATGACTGAATGAATGTGTTGTGAAAGCTATTATTCAATATTTTCTCCGTTGTAAAGAGAGAACCACATGGCCAAGAGGACAGCCAATTCTAAAATGGCCTTCCATTTTCCAAGAAGGTAAACACCGTAAGAAACTGCAGTCTTTTACTATTCTGTCATCAAAATTATTCAGAAAGGAGCTATGACCACCATATGACCACCCAAGAGTAAGAGAGACATTTTTTGACTTTATACTTCAAATGTAAATCACGGCCATTCATGTTGGTCATTTTATTTTTGTTTAGATCAATAAAAAGAGAAACGTATGTGTATATGTACATGATCTTTTAAATTTTCACTTTTGTGGGCATCTATCACTCAGCAGCACAGCTCATGGCATCTTCACAGGTGGATAAAGTAAAATTTCTTTGTACATATATCGGCATAGAAACTGAAACACAAAAACAAATTGAGAACTGCATGTGAAAAGTCTGTGAGCGAAAAAATACTACTTAAAATACTTAAAAGTATACGTACATAGACCTTGGTACATGGAACCCATCTCTGGGAATGACAATTTTTAATTAAATTTAGAAATGCAGATATGGCACAAACTTCTCAATAAGGTTTGCAGTAATATTACGTTCATATAAACTCAGAAGTAAATCTGTAGCAATTCTGCTGTATCACCTTGGTAGCGATTCCACTGTAAAAGCAAGAGCTTGAAAGCGTATACAACATCCAGCTTGCAAGTATATACATCTCCAAACCTTTTTTGTAGGTACCTTCTTATTTTTTTGAAAACTCGCATATGAAATACTTGGCGATATCACACTCCACTTGACTCCAAGCCCCATTGGATCCCATCTGCACACAGCTGTTGCTGCTGAACTCTGATGGCACCTCCAGACCCCACACTGAGGAGTTTCTTAGGGGGCTGCCATCAGCATATGCATATCCTCCACCAGCCTCTGCTGGCTGCAGGCCGATGAACACATGAGTTAGGCCGGCCTCGCTGACATAGCTGGTCAGCAGTGTGTTGGTGTCCATGCTTTTGGGCATAGCCAATGTCCCACCTCGCAGCTTGCAGTTCATGAGAGCGTCACGGTACTTCCGTGCCTCCTTCACTAGCAGATATAACTTCTCTTCTGTCTCCTTAATGCCCAGAATGACTGCATGAAAATAATAATGAATTGCTTAAGAAATCGTTGTACGTGAATTGCTTAAGAAGTCATTGTATCAGCCTTTGAGAAAGTAAGGCTTGTTATGTGAAAACACCAGCAGTGTTTCTCTGCCATGTTGGTGTCACTTCTGTGTTGAGAATGATCCACTGTTCAAGTAATATGTGGTCAGCAGTGGCGTTTTGGTCAGAAACAAACTGGCTAGTGATGAATGAGGTGGCTGACAAATTGTACATGAAAACAAGCTAAATTTATATAAAGGACCTATAATGTATGTTGACCCTAAATGGTCAATGAGTGCTTGGTGGGTGTTTACAAGTACAAAGTAGGTGTTTCTAATAAAGTAGAGGGTGAATATATGAGGAAACCAAACTGCATTTGAGGACAGGAAGTTCATTATTATTCTGAGTTGTGTTTTGCATTGCTTACTACCATTTACACAGCAAGAATGTCATCAAAGGAGGCAAAATCCTGCCCTGCTTTGGTATTAATGCAGAATCATCAGTGGAGCCTTACCATTTTTCACAAACTTGACAGCATTTTTCAGTCTGCTAATGTTGATGTCCATCTGTCCAACGACCTTCCTGTACCTCCCGCAGTCGCAGGTAGTCCCTGTTTCGGTCAAAGCATAAGGAATAACGCTTCATTGAAACTAAAACAGAAACATCTGTAACTGCACTTTGTCGTACGTCAAGGATGAAGTATAACTTTATGATAAGTGAGGATGTTGTTGTTGTAATATTAGTATATAACTAGCAGTCATCAGTGACTCCGGCCTCATGAGTGAATACAGCTGAGGAAGAAATTACCAAGAAAGGTTGCTGATAGCATGTAAGAAAGTACAAGGAAACACATTCAAATCTGTTTTTGTATGATTATTTTTTAAATGATGCCATCTAAAAGCTAAAGAAGAAAGCTGGAAGGAACAAAAATCCTAAGGAATACAGATTTGTGATTTGTGAATGCATTTAAATACTGATTAATGTCGGGTGTAATTTACAGACAAAAATGAAGCATTATTTGAGGATACAGACAGACAGTAGTAATAGTTACATAGTGTGTGAAAAAGAGTGATCATCAGAAAGATGTAGCATTCCGAATGATTTACCTGCTTTGCCCTTTAGGCCTGAAGGTCCATCAATTCCTCGTGCTCCTTTTTCCCCTGTAAATTTAGCATTTTTGCTCATTATTCACTGGATTGCCTGACTTTCTCAGCAATAATAAAAATGTTCAGCTGAAGAGTCATTGCATGGGAGAGTGCATGAATTAATAGAACACCTGTTGCTGATTGTTCATAGTTTACTGGTTTTGTTTGAATGGCTTGTCATAATGAGAAATGCCCACAAGATGGCAGCATTGTATATGGGTATTTCTGGGCAAGTCTGATTTCACCAACAGAGCAGAGGTTGGATCAGACATGAGGTAAAGCGATTTGATTCGATTGTTTATCTATGAAAGGACCTCTGGTTGGATGAAACATATGCTCAGCACATTTTAAAAAACTTCTCTGTCCAAGGCTAATTAGGTCGCTCTGATGAGGATGAAACAAAGCCTTTTCATTAAGGCCCACTTAGGCCTAACTTTTTCTTCCAGCCAGAAAGCCAACATGCCTTACTCAGCACCCCAAGTAATCAGTCATCAACTAAGGCTTTATTTCACAAAAATCAGGTATGTTATGCCTTGCCTGGAAGGAAAGCTTAGACCCATAGCCTTTTCCAGATAAGATTGCCCACTGATGTAACGGAAGAGGATAATCTTGGCTCAAAAGAGATAACTCAGGGAAAGTAAATGTCTTTGATCGGAATTTTTATAACAAACATCAAGAATTGGTAATTTTGCTCTGGAAGGAGCATCTTAAACTAAATGAGGGATGCATAAACAATACGCCCAAGGCTGGAGCAGTATTCCACATTAGGACAGCCTCAGATTGCGGTTTATTTACCTCTCTCTCCTGCAGGGCCCATCTTTCCCATCCGGCCAGGCTCCCCCTTCTCTCCATTTTCTCCTGGCAGGCCTGCAAAATGAGAAAACAGGGTTATCAGGAACCTGACCCCTGTCCAAGCCACAGAAAAATATCTCACAACGGTCCCAATGTACACGGGAGCACGCTGTCAAAGCACAATAATTCAAGACATTTTTAATTTTTTTTATTGCTGTATTTTGTGTGTAGCTGCATAATTTTGTGTCAGTAGTCTGGAGCATAAATCTGACTCAATAGTATTTTCCAAATCGTAAAGGGGTTTGGGTTTTTCGCTTTTAAAACAGTTCAAAAGGCTCTCAGACCAAATTTCCTAAGCAGATATCCAGCTGGAAGTCTGTAATGAGCATTTCAGTGCTTTGTCTAAAGAATGACAGGACTCAATCTTAATCTTGGTATCCCTTGTCCAATGTTGATTTTGTGATTTATTCACATTGAGTAAATAGTGTGATGATTCACATTTATTTGTTAAGTACCTCCATGTGAACCTTTCCAAAATAAAGCAACCCCTGATTCACTTTTATTTGTTATGCTCCTCCATGTGCACTCTTCCAAAATAAAGGGTCCCCTGATGCTGTCTAGTAGCTCCAGTCATTCAGATATTTCAATTACTAGGCAAACTTCAGTGGGAAAACCTCAGACACCAGCTGAACATTTAGAGAGGTATTTGACTTCAAACACCCCACTGAAAAAGCTTTTAGCACTTCTCTCTTTTTTGTTTATTTCTTATTTCATTTCCTGCTTTAACTGTGTGGCAAGGGAAAGAACACTCATATTTGGGGCTGGATAAACATTTCCTGAGCTCGTTTAAGGCTGATTAATGTGAGTTCTCCCATGGGTTAACCACCTTAAACCCAAACTGCTCTCCTTGCTTCTTTCCAGATAAACCGTCAGTTGCGGTTCCAGGTTTTCAATGGTTATTACAAATAACCGCTACCATTACAAATGCTAAGGAATCACGTTCATTTATATTTTTGTTCTCTTGTCTGTTTGAATCTATGATGTATTGCACAAATGAGCCAGCATAGTTTATTTTATATGGTTTATTTCAAGTTGAAATATAGAACTCTCCATTCCATATTGGTTCTGCCAAACTCTTTAAATGTTTGCTGATTCATAAATGAAATTTACTGTAAAGAAATGACTGTTGTTTTCTGCATGTGCATGTTTAGGTACGTCACTAGAAATAACTTTAAAATTGAACGCAGGCATGCCGAACCTTAATTCTCTGTGGTTGTAAGTGAAAAACCAGGCGACTGTTCCTCTATTTCGTCTTCGGGCCCTTCCCGGCATTTAGTTTCCCCCCCCCTACACGTTTTCTCTGACGATATATGGGTGTGTTCAGGAGAGAGGGGGGAGTCTTTCGTTTGCCTGCTGCTTTAGACTGCAGTCGCAGAGCAGCCAACACTTTCACCCCTGAGGGCATGGCGACACCACGGCCCCTTGGCCGCAATTAACACGTCTGTCTGCCTCTGACGTGACTTCGCTCTTTGGAAGAAGTGGGTTTGGCACACTGTGACCTGACATCCACCTCACTGTGATGCCCAAGCTGTGGGCAAAGGCACATCAAATGACTGACTCTAGGTCAGGCCCAGGCTCTACACAGCAGTGCTGTTTCCTCAGATGACAAGCACAGAGGAGGCTAGTGTATATAGCTTCTTTTTTTTCCTCTTTCAACAGACCTCAGTCAGTACATTCAAGAGAAACATTTGAGAGAGGCCGTGAGCATTTTAGCACTGTCGCGAAGCATTTTTCATTTTTTTGTGGTGTTATGTAATAATTATTTTGGACAAATAAATGTTGTTAAAGAAAATTATATATCTCACACAATTAATGAAAATGATATGGTACAATTTCAAATAATAATGCTCAATTACTGGAATTAAGCCTGAGCTTGGGCTCTACATGACATTTATGTAAAATTAAGGTTTTTATTTTGAATGTTGTACCTACTGTTATTCCAAGTCCATGGCCACTTCTAATCCAGTGTAAATATATTAGATGCATTAGGCTAGTCTGCGAGACTTTCAAATCAAAAGATTTTTTCATTTTGCTGCATACTTTGGGCAGCTTGTAGACAGAGCTGGCTTGAACCAGCTTCCCTTTAATCTCTCAATGATTTACTTGGTTTAATAACCAAACCAACAAAGTAACAGGGACCTCTGTGTCCAGGGGGCCCGGTTTTCCCCAGTCTTCCCACGTCGCCTTCATCTCCCACTTCACCTTGGTCGCCTGTCAGGAAAAGAGGTGGAAAGTCTGCAACTGGAGCCACAAGCTTATAAAGCAGATATAAACAGATAAAGCTGTTTAATATAGACAGTTATTCTATTTGTAGAATGCTGTGTTCATAGGCATTAGCAAATGCATGAGCAAAGGGGAAAGCCATTTCAGTTGATCCCTTCTATCAGTTTGGTTATTACCTTTGTGTTCCCACAAGAAGCCTGAACACAAGCTCTGCTACCATGCAGCTAAAGAAAAAGTAAAGGCCCCAAAACTGGCATGGGTGGTGACGTTTCCAAGTAATGGAATAATAGCCTCACCGCATAAACCTTGAGTTAGTGTTTCAAACGATTGCTTTTGCTGAGACTGCTAAGCTATAAATGACAGAATGGCACTCTAACACAGGCAGACTATTGAGATGTGCCAGCAGGGTAGCTGTTATACGAGCAGCTACAGTAGCACTAAGAAGCGAGATTCTATCTACCGTGTACACAGCAGACCGAGAGTGGAGTAACGGAGCAGGCCACAAGTTATCAACCCCCTTAAATTCAACACCAACTCTTTTAATAAAGAAAGCCTAAACAGCCTTACAACAATGGCTGTGGTATTTTATGCTGTAGATAAAATGTCCCAGCTTGGCAACTAGCTTCACAGCATTTTTAAGTAATTTTAATGACTTTTTAGGGGCATTGTCATCATTAACCATAAGTGCTTTGCTACATGTAATGGCCCTTATTTAAAGGTCCATTGCCCATTGGTAGTCCTAGCTACTAGCTGTTTTACAGGCTTTAAGTACTCCTTGGTATCTCAGAATGAGTACTCAAATATTCGTTCAGTAATATTTCTTAGAATTAATCTTATGTATATATGCATGTTCTTTTATATAGTTTGCATTGCAATCAAAATATTCCAGTTTTTGACATATCTATACATCCCTTTTTACAATAGATGTACTAAAGATGCTGAGATACAGATGTGTGCTCTAACTCAAACTGGCCAAAATAATTCTGTAAGAAATCATGTCATACCCATGTAAAGTTACCTAAAGACTAAACATCCCCCACATGCTTTTGCAACCACTCCTTTTTCTTTGAGCAACTGAAGCAAGATTTATGAAATTTATGTTCGCCTGTCGAAGTTATTTTACTTGGGACGGAATCTGAACATGGAACGCTTAAGTTAGCAGTAGAATATGAACTTGGCTATCTATTTAATAAACCAACTAAACTGACTACGGAAACATCATAACAAACGACTACTTGAGTGTGCCAGCCCCAATATTTTAGGTAGTTAAACAGGCACGAGTAGAATGTGCTTTCAGTCATGTTCTCGTCACAACAACGTTGTTTATTCCAGATTTCCAGACTGTTTTTATACCATAAAAGTAACTTTTTTCATCATAAGCGCTTTTTGATCACTGAGTTGTGTGTGTAAGTCACAGAATTCAGACCTATTTTACTATAATCACTCTTGATGGCAACAAAATGCTTGTTTAACAATGTTAAGTCCCTTCAGTGAAAAACATATTAACCATTTCTTCTAAACTTTTTCGATTTATCAGTTATTTTGTTTTCTGTTTGATCTTGTACAACTTTTTACATTAACACTTACATTTACATTTAATGATCTCTTTATTTTGAACAGATGACAGTTTATTTTAAAAACAGTGCCATACTATGCTTACTGCTTACATGATATGCAAAATATATATATACAAAAAATATCACATATACAGTTTTTCGTGGGCAAGGTATCACATTACAGTTGCTAGGCTATGAAGGACCAGTTGGGTGCAGTAATTTGCTACAGCACCACCCAGAGGCAGACCAGTGCTGCATCTCTAGTTAGTTAAGAAGACCAAAGACAGAAGCTCAATGATTGCAACTCTTGATGGCTGTAGCATAACACTATTTTAAAGTAAATAACATACAGTGAGATCTACCCAGGCTCAATCACAGTGTCCTGACATTACGGTTTGTTTTCATGCAGTGATACAAGTAATCACCTCAAATAAGAAAGTGGAAGTCCATACCCCTCTATGTAAATTCCTAACAGTCAATTTTTCTGCACAGTTTCATCAAAAATGTACCATAGATGTATGTTCCTATTTTATTGTGCTGATATTAGCTATTTTCACAAATCATATGTATTTTGAAAAAATAATATTATGTATTTAGATTGAAAAGATCTGGTTCAAGAAGCACATTTAATTTTGCCCATTGAATTAATTGTGTTTTGCATTATTTTACTAGACACTTTAGTGACTGTTAAAACCCACGCCTTGGTCTGTTGCAGTTAAACCCGCCTATGGGACAAAGCATAACATTAACACTCACTCGGCTTTTAACTGAATAATTAATAAACACTAGGTGCTGGAAACACAGTTTGTGTTTTCATTTCTTGCAGAGATGTGTGCTGTCTCTTGTGTGCCACCAAAGGTTTTTAGCGATACCATAGAGGAACCATTTTAGTTCTCTAAAAATCATGTTTCTAAATGATATGTGTGAGTGTGAAGAAACAATTAAAGGTATAAAAAACTTTCATAAACTGTAAAGATTCTTCACTAGTTTTAGGGTTCTACCTGGAACTTTTACAATATATTTGTTTTACATTAAGGTTCTTCACACCCAAACTTCTTGAAAATCCCTTGAAAGGTTCTGTGGGGAACCAAAAAGGGTTCTTTAGTGGCTTTACGAGTGTAGGTTGTATTGATAATATAAATGTCCCATAAATAATTTTAACATTGTTTGGCAAAAAACAAAATACACTGTGCCCCTCCCCCCTTGTAGTTGTCTCAAACTAATGTGAAAATTGCGTACGAGACTCTTTCAAGACAACTTACATAGTTTTTTGTTTGTTTTAAACTATTTCAGTTTAAAACTAGGGTCAGTTCAATTAGTGCCAAACAGGTTACCCACTGGGTTTTTTTAGAAGAGCTTAGTTTGCTTAGTTTGACACCAAAATGTGCTACTGTTTGCCTCACCTTTTCATTTGGAACTTTTTTCTTACAGAGACACAATCTGCATGAAGTATTACACCAGATGTTTCAAACTTCAAATCTTCCTAACACATCTTCATAATCTTCATAAGACAGTGTTTGCGGTCTCTAGCATACTTCTGAGACAGATCTCAAAACTTACGTATTTCCTTTAACTATAAAACTTAATAAAAAAAACATAAAACAACAAATGAATACCTTTTGATCCAGGTAGGATAGTGTTGGAACAGACCTCTATGGCAAAAACTGATGATATGTTGTAGAGAGCCAGAAGCAGTAGTATACTTTTCCTGAAATTTCTTCCACCCATGTCTTTAATTGAAGACTGCAACACTGTGGTCAAGTGGACAGAGTGAAACCTCTTCTCTGCATGTGTTTACCAAACCTTATCACATCCCTATCCAGCTGTCAAACAACACTGTCCAGAACCCACACATTCCATTTACTCTTTATAAGCAGAATTATTTTTTGGGAGAAGATGAGTTGTATCCATCCATATGACTTTACACTGATTAGAACAATTCTGTACAACAAATAACATCAAAAGAAATTAGCCACAGCCATTGCTGAATAAATTAGCAAGTTGTGCACTGTATTGAACATGTTCTCTTTTAAGTAGGAAGCTTGTAGACATTTTTAATTTTTTGTTGAAAGTTTACACGGCTATATTGTCACTGACAAGTTTGCAATTTGGGTACAAATCCACAGCTGGAGAATTTCAGTAAAGGTCATCACAAACCATTGATGCATATTTTCTCCAGTTTTTTGCCTATTATGCAAACCACAGTGACCAGCTTTGCGTGCAGTATACCATCAGTACACAATGACACTTGTGTACTGCATTGATCATTCTCAGAAGGCACAAAAAAGCATTGTAACGTAAAGGGGGCTGCCAGTTTGATTCCACATATTAAAAATATCTCGATCATACCAAGGATACGTGAGTAGACCAACACATCATGCACATCACAAATTCAAGCAGCATTATAATTTGTTGGCTAAATTACTAGAGCAAGAACTTCACTAGCAAGTTATTTTTCTTGCTCACTCCATCTGGCAGTATATCTGACATTCATTGTCAGTAGAAGAAGGGGAAATCAAATAAAATAAAGGAACTGCTCTATCAAAGAAACTTGATAAAACCAAAGCGCAGTTTTACTGAAATTTTAGAGCTCACCTTTCATGAGTGGGCACTGTAGGACTCCCTGCAATGTGGATTTTAAATGTTTAATTTCTCTTGGGTGGCTTATTATGATAAAATGGGTAGATATTTGTGTGAAATATTGTAACATATTATAAAGTTCACATTCTTCAGTGGACAACACAGAATTTTACGGTACTTTAGCAAAAGCGGTGATTTGTGGGGCAATGCATAGCCACTTGGTTTTGTACTTGTGTACAAGTGGAAGCTAGTGTGAGCTTAGCAAGACGACTAAAATAGCTTTACACACCACCAGAGACGATCAACTCTTTGAAGCTCCACTGACACAAGTTTAAAGAATAAAGGCTCAAATCTGAGCAGGTAAGCCTACACTTTTGTGCGTAGTGTTGTTATCTAAGCTGCTGTTCATTATACTCCATTATTATTACAGCACCAGAGTCTAATGTCATCTTAGCTGAAACAGCTTCACACACCATCAGCAATTCTGGTTCACTCAAGCAGCTGTGGGTCAAGTTTATAGCATAAAGACTCAAAACTGAGCAGGTGAAGTCAATCGACTGGGTGGTTTTGGAGAGAATGTCTAGTTCAGTGAATGGTTAATGTTAGCTGCTTAACTATTTTGTTTTTTTGTAGATGTGTTGACTGAGGAGCAGTTTCTCTGTTTAGTTTTTTTCAGAAAGAGGATGCCACAGCTCTCCCTCTTTTTTCTGTTGACTGACGCTTCCGAGATTTGCCAATTCATGGGGGTTCACCTCGGCGCGAAGTGAAATGTAACGCTAAAAGCTACAAATAAATGCTGCTGGGAGCAAATTCGTTTCCACCTCTTTGTTTCTACACTCATTGTCCATTTTATCAGTTCTGCTTTATATAGGTGTAAGGTGTGAAATACAGGGGGTACTGGGGAGTCCAGGACCCCATAACTAGAGACCCCCTGAATGTCTCAAAATCAAAATTCGAGATTTGAATGAGCCAAAAACAAGGCAGCCAGTAAGAACAGAGCATAAAGTATATATTTGTTTTAAAGGCACAGTAAAAAAAACAGCCTGATTAATTTTAAAGGGTGAAGAGAGGTTGGAAAATTATCATGTAAAAATGAAATGAAAATGACTGTTTGTGGTGCATGAACCCAAACAAACATCATAACTGGACCTTAGGGGGAAAAATACAAGAAAATTGTACAACCCCATTTCCAAAAACATTGGGATGCTGTGCAAAATGTAAATAAAAACAAAATGCAATGATGTGCAAATCATTTAAACCCTATATTTCATTGAAATTAGTACAAAGACAACAAATCAAATATTGAAACTGAATTTTTTTTTGTTTTTTGTAAAATATATGCCCATTTTGAATTTGATGCCAACGACGCGTTCCAAAAAAGTTGAGACGGGGGTATGTTTACCACTGTGTTTCATCACCTCTTCTTTTAACAACACTCTGTAAGCGTTTGGGAAATGAGGAGACCAACTGCTGTAATTTTGAAAGTGATATGTTTTCCCATTCTTGTTTGATGTAGGATTTCAGCTGCTCAACAGTTCAGGATCTCTTTTGTTGTATTTTTCATTTCATAATGCGCAAAATGTTTTCAGTGATAGGTCTGGGCTGCAGGCAGGCCAGTTTACACCCAGACTCTTTTAATACAGAGCAATGCTGTTGTAATACATGCAGAATGTGGTTTTACATTGTCTTGCTGAAATAATCAAGGCCTTTTCTGAAAAAGACGTCATCTGAATGGCAAAACCTGTATATATCGTTCAGCATTAATGGAGCCTCCACAGATGTGCACGTCAACCATGCCATGCGCATTAATGCCCCCCCATACCATCATGAATACTGGCTTTTGAACTGTGCACTGATTGCAAGCTAAGTGGTCTTTAGCCTGGAGGACACAGTGTCCATGATTTCCAAAAAGAATTTCAAATGTTGATTCGTTGGACCACAGGATGCTTTTCCACTTCCGCTCGGTCCATTTTAAATGTGCTTCGGCCCAGAGAAGGTGACAGCATTCATGGATCCTGTTTATATGTGATTTGTACTTTGCGTTTTAGAGTTTGAACTTGCACTTGTGGATGCAGCGATGAACTGTGTTCACAGACAGTGGTTTTATGAAGTGTTTCTGAGCCCATGCAGTGATTTCCTCTACAGAATCATGTCTGTTTTTTAATGCAGTGCCATCTAAGGGCCCAAAGATCACGGCCAGCAAATACTGTTTTTTGGCCTCGTCCCTTGCATACAGAGATGTCTCCAGATTCTCTGAATCTTCTCATGATATTATGTACTGTGGACAATGAAATCTCCAAGTTCTTTGCTATTTTACGTTGAGAAACGTTATTCTTGACCATCATCTCTTAAAAACAAATCAGAATTTCATGGTATCACACATCCTTCTGACCCTGCTCTCACTAAGGATCCCAGAATCCTTTGGGGATCATGTGACTGGCACACCTCACTCCTCCAAGGACTCAGTCTCCCAGGACTACCTGGGAAATCACCTGACAGTCTCACCACCAGTGCCAAGCAATCAACGTTCTTCCGCGCCCGAGTATTGATGTGTAGCACCTGTGTCTGATTATTGTTACCTGTGTAGTTAGTATATAAGCCTGGGCTTTTAGCTTAGTTCTTCGCATCTTTCAAGATAGCTACTGAGTGTTATTTCTTGTTTTGTTCTATCTGTGTACCGTACATGTTTTCAGTATTTTTAAACTCTGTCTTTTTGTCTTTGCCCTTTTGGATTATTTCGGATATTGCTTGGATTATCTCTGTTTATGTTTTTTTCTGGTTTTGACCTTGGCCTGTTTTTCGACTGTGCCTTTCTTGGACCCCAGTGAAGTCTTTTTTAACCGCATGTGTCTGATCGGTCGGGTTGCGTTAGTTATGTTGAGTTATTTTAAGAGTTAGTGTTTTTTTCAGTTCAGAAATGGACTTCGAAATAAGAAGAACACAAATGTTTAGATCAATGAATAAGCTCCCCACACATTTTTTAATATTTGGTTAATAGTTGCCTTAATAACAGCATCAATTCTCTGTGGTAAGGACCACCAATCTCTTGAGGTCTCTTACACCGGTCTCTTTCTGTCCATTTTAAGCCATTTTTCCCACAGGCTTTGCGCTTAATGTCCCAGCAGACCATAACATTCCCACATTTAATGATGATAACTGTTGGATGTCTGTACATGACTGGTTCAAGAAACGTCATGAAATGTCAAGAAACTGCTATAATTTTTACCTGACAGGATTGATGCTGTTATTAATGCAAGGGGTCATGTGACCAAATATTAGAAAATAAAAGATGCATGCAAACTAAATTTTTCTGATGAGCTTTTTATTGAACTGTTGAATTTGTTCTGGTAAAAAGTTATATATAATTGCATAGTTGAATAAGAAGAGTTTGGTACATGGAACTGACATACTGTGAGAGTACACTGCTGTCTCCTCCTTCAAATGCATATCCTCATTTGCAAAAGAGGCTGGTAAAATAGACTTGTTTCAAAATCCTAAACTGTTACATAATAATATTGATTCATTAATATTTAAGCCCCCAAAATTTAGATACGCCAGCCTACGTTCTAGCCCAGCAGGTATTGTGAATAATGAAACAGTGACAGTGGAGCAACAGCAATGAAAATGGCAGACTATGTGCAGAAATGTACTGTTCCAGACAGTGAAGGGGATGTCAGCGTTTTTCATACCCTTCCTAAAGAACCGAACTGTCAACGGTTATGGCTGCTGTTCATTTTTAAACAAGGTTGAAGTTTGTATCCTAATTGCCAGCTTCTTAAACGAATGTTCAATTTCACCTTAGGTGCTACAGCTTGTACAGGTGCCAGAATGTAACTCCAGAACCATTTAAGGTGGAACAGAAAATTTGTTAAATAAGCTGGCAAATAGAACGCCAACTTCAGCTCCCACATCTTTAGCAGGATCTCAGACAACTTTAATTCAAAGTTGTTGGTTTGCTCTGCACATTCCACTCTGGAAGGTTTCTCGAACCTTGGACAATATTAAGTTTCAACTTTGTGTCACAATCCCAACCGCAACCTGTGAGTACCTAGCCAAGCTGTGTGATTTCATCCAGTTTTTGACAGTTGAAAGCAGATCATCTTAAATTGAAAGTTTCATAGTGAGCTAACAACTTTATTTTGTGTTGTCAAGATCGAAAAAAAGTAGCAAGTGTAGGTAACGTTAGCTACTAGCAAGCTCCAAGTAA